GGAAAAGAGATCTTGTAGACCGTCGTTTCCTAATGTTGAAATTCCGTGATGGTCTATGGCCGATAGCAGTGTTGAGACGGCACAAAGGTCTGTAGAGCTGCAGGATCACCCCGAGCGTGCATCCTTACTTGCAGACGTGATTCTTGTAAACACCAACCACGGCGATATTCAACCACTCGGAGCACATGCACGACGATGCTTGTGCTAAGAACACTGCGAACCCACTGGGCCCCGAAGGCCGGCACATACACCTTGAAGGTTGGGGTCTTCGAGCCCGACAAGAGCGAAATAAACAGACCCTTCAAAAGGACGACTTCCAAATGCTGGAAGTGTTTAGCTTCCTAGGCTGCGGATGCTGGAGCTCGTGCCAGGACAACAGTAGATGTGCAGCCTTTCTGTCCCCACGACTCGATGTTTAGGCCCCCGGGTGGAAAGCACGAGGGGTTCCTAATCCTAGGCAGGTGTGGCAATCGTTCGTAAACCTCAAACTCCCATTTGACAGGCTGAACAGATGGCAGAGCTGCGCAAAAGCTGGGCAGCGCAGAGCAACCTGATCTGAAGCAGACTCCGGACGGCCGATTTGGGAGTGGAACTCACGTTTGGGGCACGCACATTCTCGAATCTGAGCTTCGTCAGAATCTCGATCTTTCGAACTGGGCTCAGGGCTTCCTCGGGTCTTCCCTCCCCCGTGGAAACCAGGGCACGAACCAACCCAAGGATGGACAAAGGGTTCCAGAAAGCACTTCGCATGATCCTTTCATCATAAAACCGCGGTTCTTGAACAGGCTAGCTGACTAGCTCCAAAATCTCAGTTGCCCACAGTTCTTCTAACACCTGGCTCCACATTGAAACCAACAAGTCGATGCAATGAAGCTGCAAAAGAACACGTGTAAGAGCAGGTGCCATGAAAGGAACGGGATTCCAAAGCCGAGAGTGCGCTTCAGGCGAGACAGCTCGGGCAGCGCTGGCTGAGGCAAACCGATTGGATTCTCGACCGACCGGCGTGGACTTGGGGCCGACTGGGATCTCTTTCTGCTTGAAGGCCCGAGGCGGACTCTGCAGGCCCAGCTTCAACAGCTCCTACCAAGCTCCAGAAACTCTAATCGACGCTATCGGTTGGCAGGACGCTTCCTCAAAAAATGGGCCCCGAACACACCCAGCTTCCATGAAAGGCTGAAGGAGGGGATGTTACTTTCAACTCTGCGACCCTCAGCCGAGCTAGTGAGACCCTCGTACGTGACTGTACGGGTAGTCAGGAATTGTTGGCTCACCGTGAACTTGTCAGTCTGGAATCACGAGCTTGGCTTTAGGCTTCACAGCGGACAGGCGAAGCTGCAGATTGAGTCTGCGGACTGCAACGACGATGCGTTCAAGAGCCGCCCGGCTCTTTCAAGGGACAGTCCTGGGCCTTAGATTGCAGCAACCATTAGGCCATAAGTACTATAGAGAGAGGTAGACCACAAGATCACAAGGGTTGAGTTTTCTTGGAGCTGTGGGGGCTTACACGGCGAGCCGACTCGTGCGGAGACATAAAGCCGTTCCGGCTGCTTCATTCCGAACACGAAGCTGTATTTCCGGACAACGCCAGACCCGACCTTCGTGGGAGCTCTTGATGATGATGGCAGTGACGATGGTGCTTTTGGTTGCGATTGCGGTGGCGACCAGGAGACATGATGCTGATGATGATGATGGTGATGATGATGATGATGATGATGATGGTGGTGGTGATGGTGATGGTGATGGTGGCGATGATGATGGCGGTGATGGTGGTGGTGATGGTGATGATGGTGCTGGTGGTGGTGGTGGTGGTGCTGATGATGATCATGATGATTATTATTATTACCAAGCTGAGGACGATGACGATGATGACTATGATGACCGTGATGACGAGGCTGAGCATGGATAGCCATCACCACGTCGAAGACATGTTTCAGAAGGGGTAAGAAAGGTGATGACGGCGCTGGCAATAGTTCGATGCCGCTCGTCTAGCCAGTGGACAGCACGACCTCGCAGAAAAGTTCACCAGAAGCACAGGCATCATGATTGAACACCACTGCGACGCCGCGTGCTGAGTTCAGAACACGGATCTTGGATTGGGCCAGCAGATCAGCTGTTGCAGGGGATCCTTCATGGAGCATTTGAGAGCAGGCTGGTTTGAGTGCGCATTGGTCAGGACATGTCGAAGCATTGAGAGCACCAAGAAGTATGAGCAGTGTATGTGCACAGAAGCAGATGACTTGTCGGAAGGGCTGCCTTTAAAGGCGTGGTTATGTATATATACACATGCCTATTCATGGTGGTTACTACCACTACTACGACGACGGCGACGAACATGGCCAAGTTCATGAAGTTGATGGATGGATGCCGTTCAATCCGCCCCTTTTTTGCTGGAGGGGGGAGGAAGACTACCAACATCAAACAGTGTGACGAGTATGATGACGGATCGTCGTATTATGCTCTACTGAGAAACCAGGTTAGAAGTGCTACTCGTATGATTGGTTATGCACGAAAGTGCTTTCGCACTGTTTGATTCGATGTTTATGCTATCGTTACTGCTGTGCCTCTCATGTTTCGAGCAGTAAGCCCATGACTGTTGATTTGCAAACTGTTACTATTTCCCTACTGCTCATATCCAACAGTGTAACGCCAAATGAAGTGCCTTCTCTACATACACGAGTTTGACTACAATCAATCTTCGTCGTCTTCATTCGTGCACACGTGCATAGAAGGCTTCTGTGGCATTTATGACCACGAGCACCCATCAATCAGACGAAGCGAACACCGGAACTTAAGTGAAAGGTCGAAGCTTTCAGTAAGCATTTGTCTATCTAGCCGTCTGTCTATCTCCATACACATATAATATTCACATATACGTGTACATATACGTATATGTATAAATATCTCTTTCTCTCTGTCAACGTATGCAGATCTTTGCAGAAGAAAGATGCGATGCATCAATACATGACCGTACCTGTTCATCCCTTTACCGCGTTCAGAGCAGAGCATAAGGTTCTTTCATCTTACCTCTAAGCGGACAGCTGGGGCTTGCACCTGAAAGCGGGTCAAGGATGCTCGACTATCTGCCAGGCTGCAGGACCAGCCCGGGGATTCCATTCTTGCTACTTTTCGGGCCACAGGGGTTTCTATAAAGGGTGGACAATTTCGGTCTCAAGCCCTGATTCCATCATTTCGGGTTTCGGGTATGTGAGAGCAAAACATTATAGATGAGAAGGTATAGAGATAATGACGACCGCTTTGCTGGATGCTCCGTATACGTTGGAGGATAGTTTTGTACAAGTTCTGAAGAGTTGCACAAGCTAGGCAACGAAGGTATCCTGACCATTGATAGAATTGAGCAGCTAGAGGATGGGCACTTCGTTGGAGAACCCTGGACACCCCTGGACCCCACCAGCTTCTGCAGACATAGACGAAGCCTGACGTGCCGCAGCTCTTTTGCAGAGCAGCTCTATGAACGGCGTTTGATCGGGCCAGGGCTATGCTCGTTCCACAGAAGCCCACAGCACCTCGGAAGCATCCTGCATTCTCTCGTCATCGTCGATTTCGATGCGATATTGTTTCGGAGACTGCGTGGAGATCCGATTGCAACGAAGCTGACGAGCAGACAGAGTCAATGGCCACCCGGATCAGCCAGAGGCCAAGAAAGTGCGTGAGTTTCCTCGAAGAGCCGGAGATCCAGGAGTTTTCCGCTGCAGAGCACGACGAGGAAGAGTCAGAGGAGTCAGAGAACTTCGGCGGGGGCCTCTCTGCACTCGTGGCAAAACGGAATCTGCGCCTAAAGACCGTAGATGAGGACCTGACAGATCAGTATATTGACATGTGCAAGCAGAGGGCTCTGAGCGGCACTATGTCCTTTGGCTGTATGGCCTAGTTGGCCACGTCCTTTGGCGAGCTACGCTGTCAAGTGTTCTGAACCTCGTGAGAATGCCATGTATTCTCCATTTGAAGTCCGTTTCGGACTGGGGCTGTTTTGTTTGAACCCACGCTTACCGTTACTGTCCTGCTTTGGAGTGTGATCGGGTTCTTGATGTTCAAACTCGGCAGCCAAGCAAGTCCAGCAAAGCGAGCTGAGATCTTTCGAATGATAAGCCGGAAGACTTTGCACCAAGAGTTCTGTTTCGTTTGCGCCCCAACACTGCTGAGATGCACGGAGCATACTCATTCACCATCCGCCGTCGCTCAACTTGCTGTGCGTCTTAGCGACTATGCAGTTCATCGTGGGTACATAAGCCGAATGTGTTCACATGCCTGTCAAGCAAAAGGGCGCACACCTTCTGGTTGATATGCAATGAGCACGAGATATCGGGGTCGGGGTACAGTACTAGGGCATGCACGTGCGAGTGCTGGCCGCTTGGGCTGTGCTTGAGAAGAACGAAGAAAGGGGGTAAGCACTGAAGGGACAGATCTGATGTTTGTAGGAAGGGAAGAGATTTAGGATGCTTCGGCATTCCTTGGCCGATCTCGATCTGCTCTGCTCGATCACTTCTGATTGAGAGCCTGCAGTTGCAAATCGAGCACTCATCTCGCACTTTTCTCCATGTTCATGAAACCCCGTCCACTTGTTCAGGAGTTGCACACTTTTGCGGCGTCGAGTTAACTACCGCTAAATTGACACCGCCAGAAGTTCAGCAGATGGGGCTTTAGCCGAAGGAGACACAGTTTAGGCTGCGAAGGTTCACATCGTAGTTCAATGTGGCCGTGATGAAACACAGAAGCTAGCTGGCTTTCTCGACAAGGATGTGAACCTAGGTTAGCTGCCAAGTATTCTGACTCGCACTTTCTGTGCACCCGAATATTTCTAACAGAAGCTCCGGTGGTATCCCTTTATGCAAGCATAGAGGCTGCAAAATGACAGTGTTGGTGCTGCCAAGCTGCACCATCACCTTTTCAACACAAAGCCCGCAGACCTCTGAGATGTGCTTGGAAAAGAAGACCGTCGCTTGAACATCACATGAATTCGCGTAGTGGCACACATTCCAAGCATGCTGCAGGATTTGCGCGACGAGTGGCAAGCCTTCGAGAATCTGCTGGATGGTCTCTATGGGTGGCTCCTGGCTCAGCATCCTGGAGTTGAGCTCCTTGGGGTTCTGAGCATTGGCTTTCGAGCATGAGCCACGGTGAGCAATCCTGAGCGCTCAGGCTGGCATCTCCGACATCACTACTTTATGATGCAGCGCTTCTACGAAGGGTGCGCGCTCAATTCATTGCTCGTCGTTGGTTGTGGTCTTGAATTGGAAGAAAAACTTCAGACTCCATTGTAGCACTATCCAGCGTACAATGCTACATACTACCCGGGCTTACAAGAGCCTGTCGCAGCTGAAAGCTTGTGAGAGAGAGAGAGAGAAAGAAAGAAAGAAAGAAAGATAGAAAGAAAGAAACAAAGAAAGAGAGAAAGAGAGAAAGAAAGAAAGAAAGAACGACATCTGACAGACGCATGACACTTCACGTGTGCCATGCTTTGGCAGGGCGGCTCTGCTGGGAATTACAACTAAGCCCAACAACAAAGAACCTGAAGCCCAATGGGAACCCCCAGACAGACCAAAAAGACCATAGCGACAAAACGGATCATAGGTGCCATCATGAGGGCGACGACGACGACGATGACAGCAGCAACCATGGCAAAAGCAGCCGATTGCAACAGCAGGGCGGTGGAAAAGTCATGCTGCCTGACCTGCGGCAGGTACACCAGTACATGGACAGAGTCTTGAAAATCCTGTTGGACGTGGTCCGACGGAACGGCTGCACTGTGATCCATGCCTCTCACAGCAAGGCAAGGCTAGATATTTGGACACCACGGTCCTGCAACTGCAAAGCTTCCAGAGTTGAAGGGCACCAAAGGCTGAAGCAAGACTTTATAACCTTTGGCCCGGACAACGCCTGTACCATCGCCCACATCTAGTATTTCGCAAGCACTGCAGATTTTTGGGCTGCGGGCAGGTAATGTATGTATCGCGGCAGTGTGAGCTTCGGAGCACTAGCACTAGAAGCTTGAATGCCTTAGCAAATTCAGTGGTGGGAGTCGAAGCGCATGAAGGTTCTGGATTCTGGCTGGGTGATTTGTTCCGGATTGTGGAGAGAGGAAGGATTGTTGGAAAGGATAGCCATTGCATCTGAGTTCTTCTACAGGGGCATGCCTGCAGAGACGCGAAAGCGTGCTGTCGTATCGGTTCAAGTATCAAGTGTAGGGTTCGACTCTGGCACAGCCCGATTATGCGAGACAGCCAGCGTGAACTATTCCAGAGCATCCAGCACCATGCCAACAAAGTACATGACTCCTATCTGAGCTACCCATACCACTTGTCCCGCTGAGCAGGGAGTCTTTTTCGTATTCCATTCATATCTTTGTGTGCTTTGATTTGGCTGCTTTTGTTTTGTCGGCATCTGCTCCTGCATTGCGTGGTCCACCTCGTTTTCTGTCTGTGTTTGTGTGTTTCTGGTGTGTGCTTGCACGTGCGGCACGAAGTTAAGTAAATGTACGTACTACGCAAGAGTGTATCATAACTAATAAGCTTCACAACGCTCCCATGTGCCACCAACACAAGTTTGTTCAAGCAGCGTGGTAACACTATTGTGTTCTTACGCTCAGTTTAAAGAGGATTTGTTTTTTGCGGCTTTCGCCGTGGCGTGGTGAACATCTTCGAGTAAAACCGTGTTTCACACTCCTGTGCCAAGTCTGGCGACATCGTAGAGTCCCACAGTCTGGCGCTGCCGAACTTCATGAATCGCGCTGATGCCACATCCCTGTGCGTCAAACCCTGCTCCCGCCGCAGTGCTGCAAAAATTTTGCGGTTCGCATGGTCTTTCTGCCACAGTCCCCTGCATGTCCGCCTTCCGAAATCGTGCTGCGAGAGTTTTGGTTGCGAATGGTGTACGTGCATCCAATAATTACAACTCGAGCCAACCGTGCTCGCCACAGTGTTGGCGCCCATTTTCTGTTGGGAAGGCTTGCAGCGCTTGGACTGCTTGTGTTCTGGCAGAATATACGCTACCGTAACTATCACAAGCTGCCCGAGCACGCACAGGTATGAAAATGAGAAGATGCAGCTCACATGCATTCAATCCATGCGCCAATGTCCTGCAACCGCATCTCGAGGATTAAATCATGTTCTCGGGTTTGGTCTGGCAACGCTGGAGCGGTGCTTCTTAGCCTGGAGACCTGAACCATATCGCGTAAAGTCGAACTCGTGATCCCGAACATCAGTAAAACATTCACTGCTTGGACAACAGAACGTATCCTTGTTGTGTCCGTGTTTGTTTCCGCCCTCCTGTCTCCGTTTACTCGCGTGCGAAGCCGGTGCTAGCAAAGCCTGCAACAACTTCAGCACTTTCACCCCGGAACCCCAGCTTCTTTTGGCATTTGCTCCTGACAGCAGCCCATGGTTCGCTGCTACGATGATGGTCGCGGCTGGCGCCTACCACACGGCACGGGAGGGGAGTGGAGAGGAAAGGAAGGGAGGCGACAGGCAGACGAGAGGGAAGCAGTCGGAATTCTGCAAAACGCAGCCTTTGCAGCCTCAAAACAGCCAGAATGTTGCAATTTTCAGATGACGACGAAGTGGTCGCTAAGACTCTGAACCCCACTGGGACTACTCATAACCATTCCCAACCATAATCTCACAGAGACCACATACTGCTACAGTACTGCCTGAAGCATGATTGCTCCCACTGGCGATTGAACCTCAAAGCGCAAGGCACCCCCATGCCCAAGCTGTAAACCCTAAAAGAGCACCAAAGCTTTGCAGGTGATCTTACAAAATGGCCGAGCCTTTGCGTGCGGTTGCAACAATCACGGCCAGCCATTCGTCGGTACTGAAGCTTTAGAACTATGGTCTGGGGCATTGAAACATCAGAGTTTTGGCGCGTTAAGTGGTCAGGAATTGGAGCCTCGGTGTGGGCTGCAGGCTCCGACGATACCAAGTCCAGCTCCAGCGGCATCCGCTGCTGTATGTTAATAAGGTCGAAGTACATGTATCAGAGTCATAGCATGCATAGTAGGAGACCTATGACCTATGTGCGAAGGAACTCCTATGGCATTGAAGGACATGTACACACACACACGAAGGCACGGAGGGAGAGGTGACAATGATACCTTTGGCGACCTTACTGATGATCCTTGCAACTTTCCTGAATGCTCGTACTCGGAAACAGCAACTGTAGATGCTTAGTTGGGCCTCGGCAGCATGCCATGACAGGGACCTACAATCAGAGAGAGGCAGAGAGATGATCCTGCTGCCGGTTCTTCAATATCTCTCAGGGGGACTTGGAAGTCGTAGGCGGAGAAGTTCGTAAAGCTCATGCAGAGATAGCTAGAGGTTCATGATGTCGGTGTTGCATACAGACCAGCCAGAAGAGGAGAGACCCAGCACCGTCTGCACACGTCACCCTTCATATCCTTGTGTCGCTTCAGCAAAACGAACAACGAGACCCAATATTTTGAACCCTCTTGAGCTTTCGCAAGAAGACACCGCTCAAACACGCCAGCCGGGTTCAGTGCAGACTGAGCGTCGTAGGGCTTGGAAAACTGTAATAGGTTCTCTTGGATCTGAAACATGCAGCACATCTCAATACAACTGGCTGCTCGCACGCTGGCAAGAGTTCGGCAGTGCGAGCAAACGCCGGAGGTTCTGGCACAAGACAGTGTGGATCGTCCCTTTACTTACTTGCACCATGGCACCAGCTTCCTTCGCAAGATTGCGCCGTTATCCACCACGGTGAGCGCTTGATTGACACTATGATCTTCTATCTACATTGTCATCAGGACTTCTCCAACGATTGCCCATAGGACTGCAGGGATTGCCATTATGACGTATGACGTCTTCATGCCGATTGCCATCTAGCCTTCCGGCTGCTGGAATGCCATTGAAATTTCGCTTGACATTGGACTTCATGCTGACTGATTACAAGCATCTGCACCAGACCGTCAAATGCAGGTCGATAATTCGGTTCCACCGCTACGATCTGACCAGCAGTGGAGGATGGGTTCTCCCTAGTTTTATCCTACCTCATCCTCGACTTGGACGCAAGTTTCCCACACTTACGCTGGAAGTTGCACGTTGGTCTGTATGTCATCCTACGTTTTATCTCCGCACCGACGCGAGAGATGGGCGACTCCGTATGGTGAACCCACCTGACCTTGCTTCCTATGCTTACTTGTTTAGCCAACTCTGGGAGACGGCGGCCCCCAATACGCTGCAGCCGGAAACCTCTGGAACATCCCAACATAGCATAACAGCTTAAGGATTTTTCATGACTGTGGCATGAAACGTGGCGCAACATCAGACGCTTAGATAATGTTCTTACTCATACGTTGCAATCAGATTGCACCCTTGCAAGATTTTACCAGCTCTAACTTGCTCAAGCCCAAGAGGAAGTAATTTTTGCCACAGGGTCCGGGTGGAAGGTTAAGAACTTGTGATTTGTCCAGCTCCACCTCTACCTCATAGCGGAAACTAAAGTATACAGTAACCAAAGCGTGCAAAAGACGTCGGCGAGGTGTGCCATCCCGACGTTGCTGCCTTGGCTCAGCTACGTGCGTGTGGCAGCAGGCTACTGGGTGGACTCTGTAATTGTAATGTTGATCGTTTGTCTCCGTCGACACTGTGTAAACGGCAAGCTATTTCGTCCGCATCTCTGAATTCACGAGCTGCGAAATCCTGCCAATGAACTGTCAGGACTTCTTTCGAGGAATGGTTAGATGATTGTCTTTGGCAGGGCCCAACTCGTCCACCCAGACAAACAGCATAAACACGTTCACGGCCCCTCAATGGTAGGACCACGCTCGGCCGGGGAGCCCTGACCCGACTCCGATGACAGCACCCCCCCCCTCGAGATAAGTTGTAAGGCCTCATTTTTTGTTTCGAGTTGCATGAGTGGGTTCTCATAGCAGCCGGCAGCCTTCCTAAAGCCACAGGGAAGTTCCACACAGTGCTGCTTCAGAGCGACGGGCAGGCCGGGCTTGCAATTGCTTTAAATTCAACTGAGGCTCTCATTATGTGTGGGTGTGTCTGTAGGATGTGTAGAAGGCTTCGTGCTCTTTTGCCAGAGCTTGCACGGCTTGTTTCGGAACTAGCGTGCATACCCCAGCGACAGGTTCCCCTACAATGGCCACCAACAGCACCACCAGCATCAGCATCATCACCCTCACAATCATCACAGTCACAGCTCGAACACCATGAGTGTTACCAAGTTCCGGGCATTTGCCTGACTGTCCGTTTGCATGGCGAGTGCACCCTTGATTAAGTCCAAGTTCCCGTTACGCTGCTGCATGTGCGCAAGCGTGCGAGGGAGGGAGGGAGGGAGGGAGGGAGGGGGAAAGAGGGATGTGTGTCGGAAGGCGGTTACTGAAGTACCCCCAGCATTTCTCACCTTGCTCGAATTCCTTGTGCACGAACTCGCGCAGGAGCTGGGATTTGCGCCCCGTTTGTCTGTATTGAAGAAGACAACAAGGCACTGTCGTCATTGCCTTGTCAACTTGAAGATATCACGTGGCCTCCAGCAGGCCTTGTCCTTGTGCGAGCTTGCGTGTGACCGGGCAGGGCCGAAGGAAAAGACTGCCGCTCTTCTCTGCTTGACTTTCGGCAAGAATTGTCGGCCCTGGTCCGCGCCATCGGCCTCGACCCGAACGAGTACCTCCCTTACCGTCTGCGGTGAGGCGGCGTCCACTTTGACCAACGCACTCAAAGGCTGGAGCGCACGGTAATTCAAGCAGGTGGAAGGACCAAACTCTGACCCTCATCTACATCGACGATGCGAGGGCTACAATCGTTTCAGTTGCTTGTGCCCCCCGACACCACCGCCCTTCAAAACTTCCCTGCATGGTTATCTTTGGGCTAGTGTGTGCGCCACGGGGATAGTTATGTCCTGCGGCAGTTGCCGACTTGGTTAGTTGGCATGCTTTCCACGGTGCTGCATTCTCGGTGCCCAGCCATATGCGCGGCCGCCCTTCTTTACTGACAAACGGGAGAGCCGTATGTATGCATGCATGCATGATCATGCATGCATGTATGTATGTGTGTGTGTGTGTATGTAATGATGTGATTATGTATGTAGTGTATGTAATTATGTATTTTATGTATGTAATTATGTATGTCATTATGCATGTAAGCATGTATGTATGTATATATGTCTGCATGTACGTGTGCCAGTCTCCCTTTCGACTTTCCTGTTGTTTGTACTGGATGAGGCCGTTGCCTGTGGACACAACGCGCAGGGACAGTGCAGTATTCCGCCACATGACCTCAAAAGCTCGGGGCTATTCGGGGCCTGTCAGCCTTGCTACGTATACTTCTTGTGCAGGCATCTTTCAATCTGTCGGGTTCGAGGTCCAGGAAACGAGGTCGCTGCAGCTGACAGTTCTGAAGCACCAAGTGCCGGTAGCAGAACCAACGTCATGCCAAAAACTAAACAAGAGCCGCAAAAGGTCTCGCATAAGGAGACCACAGCATGTGTCGCGAAAACGTTAATGATTCCAGAGCCCTCGAGGCTCGTCACCGTAGTGCCATGTCACTGATCGCACTGACTCCACTCTTTCTCACTTCCAAATTCCTTTCCCACATGACTCGCACAGCAAGAGAGGACCTACGACACACGAAAGTTGGGACACATCGAGTTGTTGAGGGTTGCGCGTTAAAGTGCAAGTGTCATCCGGCTCCCCAGTGGCCTAAGGATGCTTCCAGCTGGCATGACCTATGTGGACGTGGCAGCAGGATTTTCGCTGCTGGTGCTGCTACTACTACTTCTTCTAGTGCTTCTACTTCTGCTTCTGCGACTGCTGCTCTGCTACTGCTTCTGCTACTGTGCTGCTGCTACTACTACTACTACTACTACTACTATTACTACTACTACTACTACTACTACTACTACTACTATTACTACTGCTAGTACTACTACTACTACTACTACTACTACTACTGCTGCTACTACTACTACTACTACTACTACTACTACTACAACTACGACTACTACCACTAC